GAAGCCTAGAGATTTTTAGTAATGTAGATAAGAGATGTTGAAGTAAAAATAGATATGGAAAGGAAGAGAGCAATTCTGGAAACATTGTGCAAAAGGACATGTCAAACCCTGATCTTAGAGTAAGAGTTGGAGATTCCAATTTGAGTCATTTTCTCAAAGGTGATGGCAGAAGCTCTGGAAGTGGCTAAGGTCACTCAGGAAGAGCAGAGATAAAGTAAGCCGGGGGAGGCCACAGAACCTTGGGGAAAGCTTATATTTAAGGGGTAGGTAAATCTTCAGATTTAGAAGAAATGATGCTTCAAACTTGTTACTAAAAAGATGAGGAAAACTGTGTCTTTAGAATTAATCGGTTTGCCTAGTTTACAGCAGAGCCCTTTAGAACCCATGTGCCCCAACTTATAACTCAGTGCACTATTAGTTTAATGCTCTAGACTCCAGTTTAATGCTAAATTTAAAAATCCCACCTACCACCTTTCCCATCCTCATCTATTTTGGTAAGACAGACTAAACTTGAATTTTAGACTCCTTTACATAAATCAAAGTATCCTGCATCACTTATGCTTCTAGCTACCAATAGCAAAGAGAGAGTTTTGCCATTGGAAAATTCAGGGCAAGCCATCCATATGGATGCCATTTAAAATTATAATGTGTGATGTGAATTGATAGTAAGAATTGTAAAAAACCTAATTAAGTCTACCTTATGTTTCAAAGGCAATAAGTTAATCTTACATATCAGTACATGTTTTTATATCCTTTATGTTAAAAAAAAAAACCTGCTGCCATTTTCAACACTGAATTATCCTTATTGTCCCCAAATACCTTGTTATATACATAAATGGAAAGGTTTTGCTCAAATAAGCCAAACCAAATGATTTCTTTAGTTTTACAGAAGATTTTGTTGCTATTAATACTGCAGTCTTCTATGGCATGTGCCAAAGGTGTAGTGTGAAATTCTGTTTTTCACTCAGTGAAATATTTATACCTCAAAGAGGGAGGGCTAAAAAGAAAGGATATGAAACTTTGATGCAGACCATCTTAAGAAGCAAGAATGTGATGGGGTCATCTCAGAAATAGCATCATCCTTGCTGAACAACAGAACTAAATAATACTTGGCTTTTATCATTTATTTAGCTGGAAGAGCTAAGCTTTGAAAATGAACCATCACAAACCATAATTAAATAAACTGTTTACAACTCAACTCTGATAAAAGTCAGTTGATAAAAAGAGCAGGAACAATATAAATACTAAAACTTGATGGCCCATACCTAGATAAAAATTCCCCGCCCCCCAGGAAATGGATTTTAACCATTTGTGGTATAGTAAATGATCCTATTAGAATTCTAATATATGGACCTACAGCCTACCCCCGAAAAACCTGAAACATATTTTTAAATTGGCCAGTCATTTCCTAGCATTGAAGTTCCAGAAAGATGGTGGGTTTTGTTGTTGTTTTTGTTGTTTTATTTTTCTTTGCTTACTTTGGGTTTCTTTTTAATTTTTGTTTTTCTTAAGCAAGCATATTTTATTAAATATACATATAGAAAAATATGTTTCACAAATGTACAACTCAATGAAGTGTCGCAAAGTGAATACACCCATGTATGTAGCACCCAGATCAAGACAGACATCCCCAGCCCTTCAGAATCCACCATCATCCTCCCTTCCAGCCAGTAGGTACCGCCCCCACCCCACAACTGTTGGCAGACAATTATCATGGGTCTCTGATACTTCTGCACATCTTGTGAGCAGAGATACCACCTGCCTTTGTTCAGAGTACCCTTTCAAGTTTATTTGAATAGCCTTGCAAGACAAGAGAGAGTGTTTTTCTCCAGAGAAAAGGGCAGTTTTGCTTAAGTCTTGAAAAAATAGAGATTGTGTCTCTTATTATTGTCTTTTATTATACTGTTTAGTATGTTAAAGATGTCTCCCTTCAAAGCAAAGGGTAGGCATGTTTACTTCCCATTATAAAACTGAGGTTACCTAAACTCAGGGTTCCTCTCCTGTAATGCAACCCAGCGTGTGTGCAGGTGTCACCTGGCTTTCTTCATATTGCATAATTAGGAAGCAGGGCTCAAGAAGTTGCTGCAATACTGACACTGGCTATTGAGTTGTAAGGTTCTTTGTCTCTTGACTCCGCAGCTGTTAACTAGGCAGGGAACATAATAGTCTGTAAGCAGGGCAAAATCTCAGACTCTTCACTGTTCTTGGTCGTAATCACTATTCCAACTTCTACCACCATAGATTAGTTTTACCTGTTCTTAAAATTCATATATAAATGGAATTACACAGCATGTGCTCTTGTGACTGGCTTCCTTCATCCAGCCTCATGTTTGTGAGATTCATTCACAATTGCACGTAGGCATAGTTTTTTATTTCTCATAGTATTCCGTTGTGTATTTCAAAACTTACTTTTTCTACTGTTGATAGATGCTGGTGCAGTTCCTGCTCTTAGAATTGGGCTGTTATAAACACTTTTATGCATGTCTTTGTGAATATATGCAGTGCATGTATTTCTGTTGGGCATATTCCCAGAACTGGATCAGAGGGTGTGCATAGATACTGCCAAACAATTTTCTAAAGTATCTGTACTAAGCTACTCCTCCACTAGAAGTGTATGAGCATTCTTGTTTCTCTGCGTATTTCTCCACCCTTGTTATTTTTCATCCTTTTAGTTTTGTTTACGTGCGTTTATTTTACCAAGGTGCACATAAGGAAAGATAAATATGCCAATGGTACACTTCCAATTTTACAGAGCAATCTCACAAGTATTTTTGCCATTTAGGAAAAGAGATACATCAATTATTAAGTTGTTACCAGGGTGAATTGTCAAGACAATCAGAGCCACAATTTTTTTGTAGGTTATTTTTCCATAAAGACAACAGTTTCCAAAGTCTTCAGAGTCTGATAAGACCAAGTTATTCAAATTATACTTCTAAAGATACAGTTTTAACAGAAACGAGTTGAAAACTGTGTGAATATTCACAAAAGTCTCCATATTGTACCAGAAAGAAATTAACATTCTCCCAAATGTTCCCAACTGAAAGCAAAAGAAAATCTATACAACCACATCTTCCCAGTAAACAGAAACAGAGAAAGTAATAAGGTTTTACTAAATACTAGTGAAATTAAGGGCATGGTATTAATTTTCTACATAAAACACACAAAGTTGCATTGTTTGTATTTCTTTAAAAAAAATCATCTTTCGGCAACATAGCACTTCAACCACCTTCAATTCTCCCATCCCAATCCTGAGAAGAGTACTTCTCCTCCTATCACCACTAACAAGAGGAGGTATCCCTTCCTTGCAGGCTCTGTCAATCCTGTGTTTATTCTAGGCCCATATTTCCCCTGGCTCATTTCTGCCTCTGGCCGTCTGTTCAGTTTTCCTTCTCAGGGCGGGCATCCATCACAATCTCTTTAGTTCTTCCGTCCATTCATTCCATGTATGTCTTTCTTTAAACCATCTAGGCATTGCTATAGATGGGTGAGGGCTGGGAAGAAGGCAGAGAGGGACTGAGAGCTCTGGTAGTCTCCTTGACAGGACCATCTCTCTGCCTCTGGAAATGATAAACAGCCAAGTTAAACCGAAAAGCCTGCTTCTGCAGATGCTTCTGAGCTACCACTTTTTACAAAGAGATAGAAGTGATATGAGAAATAGAAGAGAAACTGTACACCTACCCTGGCACTGCTGGCACTTCTTCATATTCAGGACGAGGAAGGGAGACAAAAGTACCTTTTTTTTTTTTGCGGTACGCGGGCCCCCCACTGTTGTGGCCTCTCCCGTTGCGGAGCTCAGCCTCCGGACGCACAGGCTCAGCGGCCATGGCTCTCGGGCCCAGCCGCTCCACGGCATGTGGGATCTTCCCGGAGCGGGGCACGAACCCGTGTCCCCTGTATTGGCAGGCGGACTCTCAACCACTGCGCCACCCGGGAAGCCCCAAAAGTACCTAACTTTTGTATGGCTTCACTGGTTGAGGCTGAGAAAGCCTGGTACTTAGCAAGGACACCATCATTATCCTTGCCATGCAAATAGGGTCTAACTCGTCACCTCAACCACTTGCCTGACAGTCAGTAGGGTTCCTGAGTGATGGTGAGGAATTGAGGTCTTTTAGGGGAGAAATAGAAAGGTCTTTTATATGATGGCAGGAAGTCTGGGTCTACCACCAGTTCTGAAGATCCTTGTTGACCAAAAACCAGAAAGTGGAGCTGACAGTGGTCTAGAAAATGTTCATCCAGCAGGTGACAGCCTAAGGGGGTGGGTGTAGCCAGTAGCAGGCAGCATTAGGTGATCAGAGAAGCAGGAAGAGCAACGGAGTTGCATAAACCAGAGACCAAGCAGCCCCCTTCTTCTCTCTCTTGACTTTATTAATGCCCAGCAATTGTCCACAGGCCACGTGCAGAGCAGAATGAGTAAAACAGGCTCTTAAAAACAACTGGAGGGCTTCCCTGGTAGCGCAGTGGTTGAGAGTCCACCTGCCGATGCAGGGGAAACGGGTTCGTGCCCCGGTCCGGGAAGATCCCACATGCCGCGGAGCGGCTGGGCCCGTGAGCCATGGCCACTGAGCCTGCGCGTCTGGAGCCTGTGCTCCGCAACTGGAGAGGCCACAGCAGTGAGGGGCCCGCGTACCGCAAAAAAAAAAAAAAAAAAGCTGGAAATCCAGATGGTAGTAACTAGACCAGAAGCCTTGGGAGCAAACAGGGTCCAAGCAGTGCAGACAAAGGCAGTGCCATCTGTAGCATCATTTATTTGGCTTAGAAGAGTGTGAACTACCACCATGCAGCATGTGATATTAATGCACAACAGCATGCCACGGGGAAGTGGTGCAGCATAGCCACGAAGGTCTCAATCTGGAAAGCTGAGAGAGCTGAATGTCCAGTGGAGGGAAGGTGCAGAAAGGTGAGCACAAAATCAGTCAAAGGCATACCCTTGCTGTTGCTAAGGCCTAGGTCTGGCAGGAGGTGGTAGGGGACCTGTGTGGGAGTATTTCCAAGAGCAAAGGTTAACCAGATTGGAACCCAACGGGCCTGGGCATCTCCACTGGCTCCCTTGTCTGGAGAAGTCTAGCCCTATGGGCTCCTTCATCCCGTAAGTAGTACTGCAGTGGATTTGGCCAGAGGTCCTCTTTGATAATCTCAGCAATCCTGTCAGACTCTGGAAGGCTGTGGTCTGAAAACCAGGCAAAGAAGCTGCACATGAGGTCTTGGTTCCTAGGAAGAAAGGCCTGGGGTTCATGGCCCGGGTGCCATATGATCGGAGTGGAAAGAAACACCACGTGCCCCAAGGATCTGACCTCGTATTCCTTCACAATCCAGTTGTTTCTTCGAAAGAATTATGGGTTTCTTCGAAAGAAGAACTTGAACTTGCGCCCCATCCTAGGATGTCTGAGTTCCTTCACCTTATAATTCGCTACATACCTGAACATCTCTGCACCTCTGCCTCTAATCAGGGCAGATAGCTGTGGGTGGTTCCGAACAGTAGTGACTCAGAAGCCCAGGATGTACCACCACTGTACGTAGTGTTAACGCATGCGCCCAAAATTGCGCCCGAACTGGAGGAAGGCCCAGTCAGCCTGAGGGTGTGCAGTTCCAGCTGGATGGCTTCTAGGGGATTCAGGTGGAGACCCTCACTCTGGGCCGGGGCCTTGCCTCGTCCTTCACCTCGTTTACCCCTCTGTGCTTCTCCACCACTTCCATTTCCTCAGCCACTGGCTTTTCCTCCACTTCAACCCTCTCCTCCTCGTCCACTGCTTCTGAGAAGATGGTGCCCCTTTCAGTCCTCGCTTCCGCGGCCTTTGCCCCAGTCATCATCAGCTCAGACTCCGACCGATCTGTGCCACAGGTTTCTAGGGCCTTCTCCCCACCAGTTTCACGCTGAAAGCCATTTTTCAGGCTGCTGTCTGCTGCCGCAGAGGCAGAGGCTGCTTCCACACCCTCCCCGGGTGGCACGACCTCCTCCCGCCCTGCTTCGGTCGCGACCCCCAGCGACTGGGATCTGGGGAGTAGGCCCGCAGCCCGTGGGGCCCTGGGGGTGCGCCCCCCTCCACCGGAAGCTGGGGCGGTGGGAGTGCTTTGATCTCCAAGCTGCCCTCACTCGTCTCCACCATCACCTGCATCATCTTGCTTTCTTCTAGAAGCTTCTGGCACTGCTGTGGGTCCAGGTCGCCCAGGACATGGTCGGGAGTAGTGAGGTTGCGGGTTTGGGGGAGAGGGATCCCCTGGGCCCCATTAGGGTCGCTTATGTTGGTAGCAGCCTGACCAGCTGTTTGTTGGCATCTGTTTTCCTAATCAAAGACTTACTCATGCAAACCAGCCTATTGCGCAGCCCACCCTTCAATTTCCCGATACTCGCCTCTCAGTCTCTAGGCACCTGCTCTCGGTCTCATAGAGTCTATTTTTGTGGCTTCTGCCATCCTTTTTATTCGGATTATTCTGGTGTATGTGTGATGGTGTTACACGGTGGTTTTAATTTGCATTTACCCAGTGTCTAAGAAATTGGGAAGCTTTTCATGTGGTTTTGATTTTGCCATTTGGATATTCTCTTTCTGTGAAGTATCCGAGTCTTCTCCCCATTGCGTGTTCTATATTTTTCATGTTGATTTGTAGGAATGCATTATGCGTGCTAGACACGAGTCCTTTTTCAGATCTGTGTATTGCAAATATCCTCTCCCTCCGTGAGTTGCTTTTTCACTATCTTAATGATGCCTTTTAGTGAACAAAAGTTTTGAATCTTCATATATTCCAATTTATCATTTTCCCCTTTAGATTAGTGCTTTTTGTGTCCTGTTTAAGAAATCTTGCCTTTCTAACATCGTTCACATTTATATCTGCAATCCATTTGGAGTTGCTTTTTGTGAATGGTGTGAGGGGAGTCAAGATTCATTTTTCCTCCCATATGATTATCTGATTGACCAAGCAGTATTTATTGAAGAGACCATCCTTTCCCCATGCATAGGTTTTTAGATGTTTCCATTAAAAGTGACGTATGTCACTGGCCGGAGCTAGTCAGATGGCCTTGCCTAGCTTCAAGGGGTCAGGGAAATATAATCCTCCCCTGAGACTGGAAGGTGAAGGAAACTGGAAATATTGGTGAGCACTGTATCGCTTACTCATCACAGACTGTAACTTGAGTAGTGTGTACAAGACCAGTAGAGTTAACCAAAGAAAGTAGAGAAGAGGTAATGATGAATAGAAGAGGAGAAATTAATGAAAGACAATAGAGAGTATCAAGCAAAGATTAATAATAAAAGGAGAGAGAATAAACAATATTTGGAAGGAAAAATACAGTCACAGTAGTGATTTAAGGAAATATAAGAGAACATGTTGGACAGACTTGTGCCAGTACATTTTCTTTTCTTTTTTTAAAAAATTTTTATTGGAGTATAGTTGATTTACAATGTTGTGTTAGTTTCAGGTGTACAGCAAAGTGAATCAGTTATATATATATATATATATATATATATATATATCCCCTTTTTTCTTTTTAGATTATTTTCCCATATAGGCCATTACAGAGTATTGAGTAGAGTTCTTCCCTCTTGGAGTTTCTAGCAGAGGAGAAAGACAATAAATAATAATGATAAAAAGTAAACAAAACATATTAGAAAGTGATAAGTGCTATGGATAAAACAATAGGTAGAGGTGAGTAAGGGGATTGAGAGTCCTGGGGGTAGGGAGTGGGAAGCAGATTGTAGTTTTAAATAGGGTAAGCAGAGGAAACTTCATTGAAAAGATAAAATTTTGGCAAAGATTCAAATAAGATGAGGGATTTAGCTAAGTGGATATTCTGAAGAAGAGCATTCTAGGAAGAGAGAAGAGCTAAGCAGAGGCCCTAGGACAGGAGCATGCTTAGGATGTTCAAGGAATAAAAAGGAGATCAGTGTGACTGGAACAAGGTGAGTGAGAGAGGCCAGATCAAGTAGGATCTTACATGATATTGTAAGAAGTTTGGCTTTTATTCGTAGTGAAATGGGAAACCACTACAGGATTTTGAACAGAGGACTCAAAATGTGATTCATGTTTTGCATGGATCACTCTGGCTCCTGGGTGAAGAATAGACTGGGGCCAGTGGTAGATGCAGGGAGATCTTTTAGGAGTCTATCAAAGTAATACGGGTGAAAGATGATATTTCTTAGACCAGGTGGTAGCAGTGGAGGTGGATAGTGGTTACAGTATGGTGGTAGAGCCAGCATGATTTCATAGTGAATTGGATGCGGGGTATAAGAGAAGGAAAGAAGTCAAGGATGACTCTGTGGATTTTGACCTGAGCAGCTGATAGGATGGAGTTGCCAGAAGCAGAGATAGGGAAGGTTATGAGAGAGCAGACCTTTGCAGGAAAATCAGAAGTTTGCTTTTGGACATGTTAAGTTTGAGATGACTGTTGGACAACAGGGTTGAGATACCAAGTGGGTATTAGGAGTTTGGAGCACAGGAGAGGTCTGGGATGGGGATACATATTTGGAAATAATCAGCATACATGATATTTAAAGCTGTAGTTAGAGCTTGCTGAAATCACCAAGGATGTGAGCAGCGATAGATCAAGCCCTGAGGCCTCCAAAATTACAAGGTCAGGGAGAAGAGGAAGAACCAGTAAGAGACTAAGGAGAGACCAGTGAAGTAGGAGGGAATCTGAAAATGTGCAGTAGGCTGAAAGCCAAATGTATAAAGGAAAGTGTTCAACTGTGTGACGTGGTGCTGATAGGCCAGGTAAAACGAGAGTTGACCAATGGATTTTACAACAAAAGTGATGGAGGTCAGAATAGGTTTTAAAGGGAATGGGAGGAAGGAAATTGGAGACAGTGAATATTGATAATTCTGTTGAGGAATTTGCCAAAAAGGGAAATAAATGGAGTCATCACTTGACAAGACCACTTTTAGAGGAGTGGTAGGGTGACAGCTTGACTGTAATGGGTTTAAGAGAAAATCCATAAGGGAGAAATTGAAAATAGCAAGTATATACGACTCTTGCCATTTTGCTCCAAAGAAATGGGATGGTGGCTGGTGGGGAGAGTGGGTCAAAGAAAACATCTTTAAAATGGGAGAAAAAGAAGTATATGTGCATGTTGTTGCGAATGATTCAGCAGGGGGCAAAAATTAATAATGTAGGAGAGAGAAAGGAGAATCATTGGAGGGATGTCCTTGAATAGGTGAAAGCAGATGGAATCTAGTGCCTATGTAGCGGGGAAGGAGTCAGCCTTTAATAGGAGCATGACAAGTTCACCTATGGGAACCAGAAGGCAAAGTATGAGGGTGTAGTTGCTGGTTGGTGGGTAGAAGTGATGATGGAGTCTATGAAATTCTCTTCTCTTTGCTTCAGTGTTCTCGGTAAAGGAGAAAGCAAGATTCAACTCAAGTGAGAGAGAGAGAATGAGGCGGTGGGAGTCTGGGGAGAGAGGGGTAGGAAATAGTTTTCTAGAGAATCAAAGAGTGACTGGATTACGACATATGGTATGATTGTCACACAGCATTAAGATCATGAATTTGAAGTGAGGCACATCGGCATGGTTGTGAATTTCTCTTCAGCCACATTCATTTACAGGTGCAGCATGAGTAAGCAGAGTTGGATTTAGTCAGAGCTGAAGCAAGAAGGGCAAGAGAATGATTATAATCTTGATCTTAGAATCCAAGCTAGAGGAGTAAAGGACGTATAGGGATGGGGGACAGTGAAAAGGTGGCCTGATCAATGGATTGGAAGACCTAGGGAATTGAAGGGTCCCTGGGTTTAAGTACCAGAGTGAGCTAGAAGGATGAGAGATAGTGGTCTGAGAGTGGACTGCAGGGAATTGGTTAGAACCCTACTCCTCCATCCAACTTGGGCTCCAATGAGGCATATTGAGGACGAGGTCATTGCAGGGGAGGAGGTTAGTGTACCAGGAGGCCTGGGTGGGAAGGATCACCTGTGTGTATATTGAAATCACTGAAAGATAAGATGAGAAAGAAGTGAGAATAAGCCAGGAGCTAAAATCCTTGAGAAATGAGGGAGAAATGACATGAGAATAGCAAGAATGCAGGGTATTAGGTGATTTAAACTGATGCCAGGAGATTTAAAGCTGGGTCTGTATTCTAGGGCCAAAGTTAATTATATAACACCACCTCCTTTGGCTAAATTAGTTAGTCAAAAGGCAGACAAGTTTAGAATTTGATATTACTTAATGTCACAGAGCCTGTATTTTATTATTTTTTTCTTTCTCAAAGTGTGCAGAAGAAAGTCACACATATGTTAGCTGATCAAAAACAAGGAATGTATATGTTTTTGAAAATTGGAAAGTGAGTAGTAGATAACACTTTTTGAGTTCAGTGCGAAATGTTATTCTCTTTTGGGGTCTTTCATTCTGCTTGTGCCCTAGAGTATGGACTAGAAACTACTGAGAAGAACAAAATACGATTTTAACTTTGGGCTTGAAACATTCTGGCTATAAAAGTGTTTTAAGGGGAGTAAGGAGAGCTAATACAAAATCTCAGAAATATCTAGTCAACCAGAGGCAGAAAGAGGGAAGGGGGAGGGAGAGAAAGAGAAAGAAAAAGGAAAGAAAAGAAGAAATGTGAGTAAAGAAAGAAGATGGCTTTGGGGGAAGAGTACAGTTTAGCCACAAATCTGCACATCACAGAATTGTGAACGTTTAAATTCTCTGGGAAACAGAAACAGCACGATGTTTTAAAAGCTAAACTTAATATAAGATGAATGAAGAGAGCCTGTGAATTGTATAGTTTTATTTTTCTTTGACTCCTCAAATATCATTCAGTTCTTACTTGTTTTGAAAGGAATCTCTCATTCTTGGCCTAAATTCTTTAAACAAGTGTGTTTGTTTGGTGACTTAGCATACAGAAATATTGTTCTTTGGGCTAGGCCACCCAGTTTAGAAAGCTGAGGGCCTCTGTACTTAAGACTCAAAAGAATGTTGGTAGACAAGAGAAGGAGATGTACACTTTGTTAATTTCCTCTGTTTCCCATAGACCATTAAGCTGTGTTTGCAAAGGAAATGGTAAAAAAGAAGCTTTGAGTGATTAACCAAGCAGCTTTATAGCTGCAGTCATCTCTATTGCCTCTTAGAAATAGCATATAAATATAGAAGTAGGGAGAAAATATTTGAGTTACCAGGGTGTGGGTAATGAGTTACTCTGGTAAAGTTAATAATTATGATTTAATCATTTTCTACCACTACAGCACTCATAGAGAGCAAATATACATTATTGTGCCTAATAAAACTGTTAAGAGGCTGAGGTCTGTGTAGGGTGGGGGGTAGTGCCAGGTGACAGGGGTGACCAAATCAGCCAGGGATACACA